TCTCCCCAACATAAGCTACTGCAGCAAAATGCATAACCGCATCGAATGCATTTTCCGAAAAGATTCTGTTCACCTGTACACATTCGACAAAACAACAGACGAGCTTTTTTATACATAATACAAATAAAACGAATAGAAAAACAAAAATGAATAAGAATAATCATACCGCTTTTGCATCACCAAGATCGGCATAGATAAACTGAAGTCTCCCAGGTTCAGGGAAAAGATTTTGTAGAACACTAATAGCACCGAGATTTCCACGTGAGAGATTATCCTATGATACGAAAATATATACAATCTTTCTTCAGGGTCTGAAAGCTAATCACAGTAAGGAAATATATGACTACGATAAAGATACCACTATTGTCACACGATAGAAATCCTTCAGAAGCCGTAATGCAGCATGTGAACCAATATATCCAGCACCACCTGTTACTAAGACATGAGTCACATCCGGGTCATGACTCGAGAACTGTAATAAATAGAAAAATCATTGATAAATACTTAGGAGATGAATAAAATAACTTTAATAACATATCAGGAAAATTCAAAAAATGTAAGATCCCTCTCAACACAATATTTTGAACACTCAGCCTGGTAAACAAAACAAGGCAAACTCCATGGCTATTATCAAGCGAGATGCGATTGTATAATGAATATCAAGCACAGTAAAAACCGATAATTACTTGGCTGGGGGTGTTGAAATTTGGGGATTTTTTTAGCATAAGAATGCATAAAGCTGTAAGAGCCGAAACCATCATGATTTTTCCGAGTAAATTGTTCTTCTTCTTGGGGTCTGCGTAATCCATGCCTGAACAATCAGCAAAGACAATACAAAAATTAGAATCGACAGAGGAAAACAATAAAGCAGCAAAATTACAACCCGGTGAAGAATGTAAAAAGTAAAAACCCCACCGCCTAAAGACATGGATCTATTGGACCTCTGCTGACTTCTTGTTCTGGTGAAACTCAGCATTTGAGAATTCCCTTCTCTTATCTCAACAATTCAAATCTTTGGCATCAAATTTCAACTGGTAGGCGAAGGCGCCGTCGATTGGGGGCTTCCTCAAATCCGCTGGCATGAAAAATTCGAATTTTAAACTGTCATCAGTGAATACTCAATATAGATCATTAATCAAATAACTCGTTTTAAAGGATGGTAAAAATTTCAACTGAGAAGGGAAACTAAAGCCGGGCCCTGTTGAAATAGATGAGTAAAATAACACATAACAAGAAGAAAAATAAATGAACCAAAATAATAGGGAAAAGAAGCACTTCACCGAGGAGAATTTTCCAACAATTATTTTAAAAAAACCAAACAAGCATTTTTATTCAACCCCAATTGCTCCTAAGTAAGAAAGATCAAATTTTTGCACCCAAATCAAGTAAAATTTTCTTCAATTAGACAATTCTGACCTAAAATAGCATAAGAACAGACGAGAAATTATTATTTCTTAAACAACAAATAAATAAAATAAAAAAACAATTTGGCGATACTGCGGAACCAAAATCGCACTCTAATCTTTCAGTTAAACAGTGATCACATAAACAATTTTTTTTTTT